TACAGGTAGGTGTGGTCAGTTCAGGCAGAGGCATGATCAATTAGCAGGCCAGGGTTAGTCGGGAGCTGGCAGAAATATCAGGCTTAAGGCCTTGGTAAGGTAGGGGTAGAGACTTCTTCCCACCCAAATCTCTTCGAAGCCTCCAGTCTGCAGGCCCTAATCTGAGAATTACATAATCTGAAGAAAACAAAAAAATTAGTTTTATCCGCTCAGAAAAACTTCTCTGGAGACCCTCACATATGTGGGACCCCTGTGTTATCTTGAATCCCACTACTACAGTAGCAGGACAAAAGATCAGTCCAAGCGGCAGGTAAAGAAGTGGTCAATTAACAGGCCGAGGTCAGTTCAGCTGGAAAGCAGAATCATAGTTGATAGTTCAGGTGGCAAGCAGAGGAATCGTCAATAAACAGGCCAGGGTCAGTTCCAAAGCAGGCAGATGTATGGTCAGTTTAGGTGTCAGAGGCATGGTCAAATAACAGGCCAGTTTCAGTTGAGGAGGTAATGGCATGATGAGTGTGAAGGCAAATGGTCAGATGGAAAAAAGTAGGAATTCTCTAATATTGCAGAAAAGTAAGGTAATATCGGAAACATTCCCCTATGCAGAGGCCTGGTTGGGAAGGACACTGAGGACAGTAATGGTGTCTTGTCTTACTCCCACTTTGGAGTACACCTGACATTTTTTTTTTACCTTTTTGGCCTGTTTCTCTGGGAGGGACTGAGTCTGCTCACTGCATCTCAGCGAATGCTTTCTTTCTTTTTTTTTTTTTCCTTCATTTCCCCTTCTAAAAACTCTTTTCTTTCCCAACCCACCCCCACCCTTCCCACCCCCCCACCCCCCTCCTCCCCCTCTGCAGACTCTAACTCATTCTAGTCTCTCGAGGCTTATTAACTTTTAGATAACGTCCTAGTTTATAGTTTTCTATATTTCTCTTTCAATCCTGCTTTTTTCCCATCTCATATAATATACTCCCATCCTATCTTCCTGCATATGGTATGATTTTTCCATTCTACCAATCTGGTTTACTCTATTAATCCAGTCTTCCTCCTTCGGTACCTCAGATTTCTGCCAAAACTTAGGTATCAAACCTTTCGCCGCGTTTAAATAGTACCATACACCTGACTCTTTATATTTATTTACTGATGTCTCCACATTGTGTAGGAGGCACGTCGTTGGGTCTAACCCTATGTCAATTCCCGTTATTTCTTCAATCAATTTGACTATTATCTTCCAAAAAACTTGGATTTTCGGACATTCCCACCATATGTGAAACACCGTGCCTATCTCTCCACATCCTCTTTAACACATTTTTGAATTTTCCCCATTCATCTTGTGCTCAACACTCGGTGTAATGTGCCATCGTGTCACACACTTATAATTAATCTCAACCTCTCTCATACTAACGTTCTCGTGTATTAATCTAAATATCTTTCTCTGTTTGTCCTCATCGAACACTACTTCCATATCCCTTTCCCATTTTGTTTATAAAACTTAACTTTGTGTTTGTGTCTAATTCTGTGAGTATTCTATAAATTTTCGAAATACCGTGCTTCCCATCCCTTCGTGTTTCTAACAACCTTTCAAACATATTCCACTCCTGTTTTAATCTCAAGGGTTTCGGGAGATTTCCAATAAAACATTTTAATTGATGATATTTCCACTCGTCTATTCTAGTGAAGATATCTCCCTTCTTCTCTATTAATTCTTTAAGTGGTCTCAATTCCCCCTCCACCAAAACATCTCTCAGTTGGATATCCTCCTTTCTAAACCATCTCCCTGATATCTTATCCTTTCCCGGGGGAAAGTACTCAGTATTTGTAAGAGGCATTAATATAGAATTAAATTCCCATTTCATGTTTTTGTGTAAGTTGTCCCATACCCTTAAAACATTTAAAGTGTAAATACTTGTGCTTTCTCTAATTCCTCTAAACTGTGCTGGAACCCATATCATCTGACTCAATCTAATTCCACTAAGATCATTTTCAATTGTTACCCCAAACTTTTCCCCTTATGGTTAAATGTCCAGTCATATATTCTTGCTAAGACCACTGCTTTATAGTATCTCTTGACATCTGGCAGACCCATTCCCCCTTTCTCTTTAGTCCTACTTAATGTTTCATATGATATTCTAGGTTTTTTATTCTTCCATATATATCTTGTTAATATTTTTTTTTATTATCTTAAAGAAGGCCTCTGGAATTTTAATTGGTACCATTTGAAATCTATACAATATTTTAGGTATAATTACCATTTTGACTAGGTTTTATACGTCCTATCCAGGATGGGTTTCCTCCTTCTAGTGTTTTTTTAAATCTTCCCTAATCTCGTTTATCAAAGAAATATAGTTTAATCTATATAAATGCTTAGATGAGACAGTGAGTTTTGTAGTTTTTCTTTTTCATTCTTTGATATATTAATATTCAAGATCTCTGTTTTTGTTGGATTAATTTTTAAATTTGATAATTCACCATACTCCTTCAGGATCTTCATCAATTTATTTGGAAGTGTTATTCGGGGATTCCCCACATAGAACAATAAGTCGTCCGCAAAGGCCGCTACTTTATGTTCTTTAGTTTCTATCTGAATTCCCTTTACCGTTCCACTGTTCCTTATTATTGACAACAGAGGTTCAAGTGACAACACATATAATAAAGGGGACAGTGGGCAGCCCTGTCTTGTTCCATTAGACATTCCAATGGGTTCTGATCTCTCCCCATTTACCGTGATGATTGCAGTAGGCATATATATATATATATATATATATAATTTACTTATCCACTCACGCATTCTATCACCTATCCCCAGCGCTTTTAAGTTGTCCATCATAAAGCCCCAGTCCACTCTATGAAATGCCTTCTCTGCGTCAATTGACAAGAGCACCACCGGGGCTTTCCCTTTTCTACTTTCTGAATAAGCATCAGGGTTCTCAAGCCGTTATCTCTACCCTCTCTCCCTGGTACAAAGCCCACCTGATCTCCATGGATCCAATCAGGCATTAGATCTTTCAACCTGTTTGATAGAACCTTTGCGTACAATTTGGTATCCGTGTTCAATAATGAAATTGGTCTATAACTGGAGCACTGAGAGGGATCTTTTCCCTCCTTGTGAATAAGTACTACATGGGCCTGTAGAGATTCTCTCCTCACCTCCATCCCACCTCCCAGAGCATTCATATACTTCTTCAGCTTGGGTAACAGTACTTCACTATATTTCTTATAGTACTTGACTGTATAACCATCGGGCCTGGGCTTTTTTCCTCCCCCTGTACTTCTTAATGCGGTTTTATTTCTTCCTGGGAAATTTCTACGTCCAAGGAGTTCAACTGTGCTTCACTTAGTTTTGGTAATCCCGCATTTTTTTTTTAAATATATCATCCTTTTTTCATTAATTCCCTCTCGAGCTTCTTTTGGAGAGCCTTGGGGACTAATGTTATATAACTTCTGTAATACTCCGTGAACACTTTAATAATCTCTTTAGTTGAGTGGGCCAACTCCCCCTTAGGACTTTTTATCTTTTCTATATAATTCCTACTTTTCTTTTTATTCAGAGCTCTCATTAAGTATCTTCCTGGTCTATCTCCCCATCTATATCTCTCATTTAAAACTTTGTTATATACTGTCAGGGCTCCCAGGTATGACCAGAGATGTGTGACTGATGCAGGGAAACGCAGACTTCAGAAATGTGATAAACAATATAATTTATTTAACACTAACCATACAAACATAAACGCAGGGCAATACTAAACATAATACAGTGCAAACAAACCAAACCAACCACCCACAGATAACAGTACATACAAGCAAGCGTCGTCAGGCAGGCCGGGTCAATATCAATTGGGCAGGTAGGTACGGGGGGAGCAAGCAGAGAATGGTCGGGGTCACAGGCCAGGTTCAGCAGGTAGCAAGCAGCGAGGTACAGAGGGTCAGACAGAGGGGTGGTCAGGGTCACAAGCCAGGATCAGAGCAGGAGAAGTCAGCAGCAGTTCAGATCAGGGTCAGCAAAGGAACAGAAACAGGATGCAGGACAGATACAGGTGGCCCAGGACAAACACAACACCAAGGCAGAGTCTGCAAGTCTGGCCATCCCTTAAATACCCCAGTATCATCAGTTCCAGGTGTTAGCTGGCTGAAAGGTTGAGTCTCTGATTGCTGGGAGCACCCGCTGGCCAGCCCTGGTACTGCAGATCAAAAGGCAGGTGAGTCCCACCATTGCTGGCCAGTCCATTCCTAACAGTACCCCCCCCTCAAGGAGCGGCCTCAGGACGCTCCAAACAGTCCTAGCTGGGCAAAATGTTCCACCGCCCGGGTCTGGCAACTGGCGGGATAGCAAAGACTGGCACACCGGGCAGGACTCCGGGCAGCGGCACACCGGGCTGGACTCCGGGCAGCGGCACATCGAGCAGAGGCACTCCGGGCAGAGGCACATCGGGCAGAGGCACATCGGGCAGAGGCACATCGGGCAGAGGCACACCGGGCAGAGGCACACCGGGCAGGACTCCGGGCAGAGGCACACCGGGCAGAGGCACACCGGGCAGGACTCCGGGCAGAGGCACATCGGGCAGAGGCACATCGGGCAGGACTCCGGGCAGAGGCACATCGGGCAGGACTCCGGGCAGAGGCACATCGGATTACCAGGCGAAGCAGCAGGCAGCGGGCCCCCCGGCGGGGCGACAGGCACCGGGCCCCCGGGCGGGGCAGCAGGCACCGGGCCCCCGGGCGGGGCAGCAGGCACCGGGCCCCCGGCGGGGCAGCAGGCACCGGGCCCCCGGGCGGGGCAGCAGGCACCGGGCCCCCGGGCGGGGCAGCAGGCACCGGGCCCCCGGGCGGAGCAGCAGGCACCGGGGCCCCCGGGCGGAGCAGAAGGCACCGGGCCCCCGGGCGGGGCGACAGGCACCGGGCCCCCGGGGCGGGGCGACAGGCACCGTGCCCCCAGGCGGGGCGACAGGCACCGTGCCCCCAGGCGGGGCGACAGGCATCGTGCCCCCAGGCGGAGCGGCGGAGCGGCGGGCGCCGGACCCCCAGGCGGAGCGACAGGTCTCGGGCCCTCAGGCGGAGCGGCGGGCGCCGGACCCCCAGGCGGAGCGACAGGTCTCGGGCCCTCAGGCGGAGCGGCGGGCGCCGGACCCCCAGGAGGAGCGACAGGTCTCGGGCCCTCAGGCGGAGCGGCGGGCGCCGGACCCCCAGGTGGAGCGACAGGTCTCGGGCCCTCAGGCGGAGCGGGGGGGGCGCCGGACCCCCAGGCGGAGCGACAGGTCTCGGGCCCATAGGCGGGAGCGGCGGGCGCCGGACCCCCAGGAGGAGCGACAGGTCTCGGGCCCTCAGGCGGAGCGGCGGGCGCCGGACCCCCAGATGGAGCGACAGGTCTCGGGCCCCTCAGGCGGAGCGGCGGGCGCCGGACCCCCAGGTGGAGCGACAGGTCTCGGGCCCTCAGGCGGAGCGGCGGGCGCCGGACCCCCAGGTGGAGCGACAGGTCTCGGGCCCTCAGGCGGAGCGGCGGGCGCCGGACCCCCAGGTGGAGCGAAGGTCTCGGGCCCTCAGGCGGGAGCGGCGGGCGCCGGACCCCCAGGAGGAGGACGACAGGTCTCGGGCCCTCAGGCGGAGCGGCGGGCGCCGGACCCCCAGGAGGAGCGACAGGTCTCTCGGGCCCTCAGGCGGAGCAGCGGGCGCCGGACCCCCAGGTGGAGCGACAGGTCTCGGGCCCTCAGGCGGAGCGGCGGGGCGCCGGACCCCCAGACTGAGCGACAGGTCTCGGGCCCATAGGCGGAGCGGCGGGCGCCGGACCCCCAGGAGGAGCGACAGGTCTCGGGCCCTCAGGCGGAGCGGCGGGCGCCGGACCCCCAGGTGGAGCGACAGGTCTCGGGCCCTCAGGCGGAGCGGCGGGCGCCGGACCCCCAGATGGAGCGAGCGACAGGTCTCGGGCCCTCAGGCGGAGCGACAGGTCTCAGGCCCCCAGGCGGGGGGCGGCGGGCGCCGGATCCCCAGGCGGAGCGGCGGGCGCTGGACCCCCAAGCGGGAGCAACAGGTCTCGGGCCCTCAGGCGGAGCGGCGGGCACCGAGTCACCAGGCACGACAGTGGGCTCCGAGTCAACTGGTATGACCGCGGGCACTGGGTCAGACATTGGATCGTCTGACCGGACAGCGGGCATCGGTTCACCAGGCATCAGGTCATTTGGCTCGACCGCGGGCACCGCGTCATCTGGCAAGGCAGTGGGCTCCGAGTCAACTGGTATGACCGCAGGCACTGGGTCAGACATTGTATGGTCTGGCTGGACAGTGGGCATCGGGTCACCAGGCATCAGGTCATTTGGCTCGACAGCGGGCACCGCGTCATCTGGCAAGGCAGTGGGCTCCAAGTCAACAGGCACGACAGTGAGCACGGGGCATCAGGTACCGGATTGTCTGGCTCGACAGCGGGCATCGGGTCACCAGGTATGACAGCGGGCACTGGGTCACCAGGCATCAGGTCATTTGGCTTGTCAGCGGGCACCGCGTCATCTGGCAAGGCAGTGGGCACCGACGGGTCACCAGGCATTGGATCGTCTGGCTCGACAGCGGGCATCGGGTCACCAGGTATGACAGCGGGCACTGGGTCACCAGGCATCAGGTCATCTGGCAAGGCAGTGGGCACCGGGTCACCAGATATGACAGCGGGCTCTGAGTCAATTGGCACGACAGCGGGCACTGGATCAGGTACCGGATCATCTGGATCAACAGCGGGCATCGAGTCAACTGGCCTAATAGGATCGTCGGGCTGGATCAGTTCATCATGCTGAGTAGCGGCATCAGGCTGAATGCAGGCATCAGGCTGAGGAGAGGCTTCAGGCTGAAGAGAGGCATCCGGCTGAAGAGAGGCATCCGGCTGAAGAGAGGCATCCGGCTGAAGAGAGGCATCCGGCCGAGTAGAGGCTTCAGGCTGAGTAGAGGCTTCAGGCCGAGTCACGGAAGGCAGGCTCACCGGTTTGGATACTGGCAGGATGGTATTGGTTGGAAAGAATTTTCGCTTTTTTCTGGTTTTAACTACTGGAGCACTGCAAGTAAACGCAGGTCTGCAAACGAATGGAGCAGCTGGAGACAGAGAAAAACTGGAGGATGGAACAGGAGAGGGAGCAGAAGCAGTTGCTACAGAGGGCTCTTTTACAGGGTTAAAGGCAGGATAGGTGCAGCGAGTGGGAACAGGGTACTGACATGCGGTAGATAGCAGGGCAGGAGGAGCTGAGTGGTGGGAATACAGGAGTAGAGTTAGAAGCAGGACTGGGTCTTTGTAAGCTGACTGAGGCTGGGTGCAACAAATCTGTCCATGTCTGCAGTAGGGGTTGAACAAAGCTGAGCTTACACAAAGTCTGTCTGGTCAATGACTGCACTGCGTTGATACAATCTCTTAGTGTCTGTGGTGAACATGTGGAGTAACGCTCCAAAAGGTAACCCACATCATCCTCTAATAACCACACCAGGGACTCTACCTGGTCTGCACTAAATGGTGGCAAAAATTCATCCCTGCATTCGGGGGAACCAGATGAAACCAACTCTGCACAAACCTCAATCAATGGCTGCACCTCAGAGAACACTGTGCCCTGATCTACTAGAACATGAGCGAGCCGTATACATTCTAGCAATTCATCCCGGGTATACTCCTTCAGAGTTTGATAAGCATACTCCCTGTCATCAAACACTAGCAGATATAAATACTCAACCTCATCAAGATCCATCCTTCCCATCAACAAGCCAAGATGGCTTCCCTGTGCAGCCACTTCTGGTCAGGATTGGCCTTGGTGTAATGTCAGGGCTCCCAGGTATGACCAGAGATGTGTGACTGATGCAGGGAAACGCAGACTTCAGAAATGTGATAAACAATATAATTTATTAACACTAACCATACAAACATAAACGCAGGGCAATACTAAACATAATACAGTGCAAACAAACCAAACCAACCACCCACAGATAACAGTACATACAAGCAAGCGTCGTCAGGCAGGCCGGGTCAATATCAATTGGGCAGGTAGGTACGGGGGAGCAAGCAGAGAATGGTCGGGGGTCACAGGCCAGGTTCAGCAGGTAGCAAGCAGCGAGGTACAGAGGGTCAGACAGAGGGGTGGTCAGGGTCACAAGCCAGGATCAGAGCAGGAGAAGTCAGCAGCAGTTCAGATCAGGGTCAGCAAAGGAACAGAAACAGGATGCAGGACAGATACAGGGCCCAGGACAAACACAACACCAAGGCAGAGTCTGCAAGTCTGGCCATCCCTTAAATACCCCAGTATCATCAGTTCCAGGTGTTAGCTGGCTGAAAGGTTGAGTCTCTGATTGCTGGGAGCACCCGCTGGCCAGCCCTGGTACTGCAGATCAAAAGGCAGGTGAGTCCCACCATTGCTGGCCAGTCCATTCCTAACATATACTCTTCTCTTCTCCTCATCCATCAACCTCTCTAGCTCATTTTTTTTATCCATTAACTTCTGTCTTGTATCTTTTGTTATTTTCTTCTTATGGATCTGCTCCAGGTCCAGTATTTCTTTTAGAAGCCCACTGACCCTCTCTCTTCTTTCTTTTTTCTTCCTTGCTCCTGCCGCAATCAAGATTCCTCTTATAAATACCTTATGACTTTCCCAAACTGTAGCTATCGATACTTCCTCTGTTTCGTTCTCCTTAAAATATACCTTAAATCTCTTTCTCGATTTTCTGAGCTATATCCTCATCCAGAAGAAGATCCTCATTTAACCTCCACCCTAAACCTCTAGTCCACCTTCTTCCCCATCCCATTTTCATTACGACCGGGGCATGATCCGAGAACGTTCTTGTCTCTATTTCAATTTTAACCAGAAGTTCTATAAATTGATGGTCAATTAAGATGTAATCTAATCTCGAGTATGTCTCGTGTGCATTAGAGAAGAAGGTATAGTCTCTGTCTTTCATATGCATTATTCTCCAGGTGTCCACTAGTTGATACTCACGCATCACTTTTTTCAAAGCTCTCAGATACCTACCCCCCTCTCTTTGCACAGAAGAGGTAGCGTCCTTTTGTGAATCCATACAGAAATTTAAATCTCCTGCAACTATCAAACGCCCTTTTTTAAATTCCATTAATTTTTTCAACAGACCCTTCATATACATCTCCGGTTTTTCTTATTAGGGCAGTATATATTGGCTAATGTACACTCAATCCCCTGAAGTTAACCTTTCAAGAATAAAAATCTCCCCTCCGGATCGGTCCTTCTATCCTCCAACTCAAATCTCATATTCTTTGCCAATCCTATTGCAACCCCTTTTGCTCTTTTAATTGGAGAGTCTGCATAATACCATGTTGGATAATATTTAGATTTCAATTTCACGTTTGCCTCTATCTCAAAGTGTGTCTCCTGTAAAAATACCACTGACGTTGCCCTATGCTGTAACTCCTTAAACAATTTAAATCTCTTCCCTGGACAGCTCAACCCATTCACATTATAGGTTATAAACTGTATTTCTTCCATCCTTCTTAGTTCGCTCTATCTCTCTTCCAAATTGCCTCTTCCTCTTTATCCCTACTGTCATGCAGAGTGTTGACCCAATACCCCCCCCTTCCCACCCTCCAACCCAACTCCCATCCCCCCCATCCCCCCATCCCTCGGTCTTTTTTTTCCCCCTACCCATTTTTAGGCTTAAATACTGCCTATAAATCATTTGTAGATCTTTGTAGATCTATTTCCACCACTGATTTGATGCTTTGGGCATAAGCTCCACCCATGGCCGGCTAGCCTCTCCTTCGACCTCCCCAGGTCCCCTCTCTCTATCCACAGGGGAACACAAAAATCTTTACTTCCCCCCTCAACCGAAGCTCTCAAGGGAATACCATTTCAACAAAAGTGGGGCCTGGGGGGTCGAGAGAGAAAGAAGAGGGAAAAAAAAAAAAATATTTTTCTTAATTCTCCCTCCCCTCTCTCCCCCACCCCCGGGCCCCCCCCCCCCCCCTCCCCCCGACCCGCTGCCAGTCCTCTTTTCTTGTATCTTCTATGTCCCTTCTTTCTTTTTCTTCTTCTTCCCACCCCGCTATCACCATTCTTTGCAGTTTCAGTCTGTCACAAAAATCCCTCAGTTCCTCCGGGTATCTCAAATATGCTGTTACTCCATTTTTCCAGCCAATTAAACAAGCTGGGGTACCCCATCTATACTGCACGTTCTGTTTTCTCATTTGTTCCAGGGACATAGGGTCTCTGGTGTTAGGTCTGCAGAAATTTGGATATTTAAGTCTCCATACTTAATTGATGATCTTCCTTTAATCTTCCTCCATATCTCATCTTTGACCCCAAATTTTTGGAACTGGACCACTGTATCTCTTGATCTTTCCTTCTCCGCAGCTTGATTAAACTTTCCTATTCTAAACACTCCATCCAGTTTAATCCCGTCTGTTTCAGGTCTGTCTCTCTGATGGAGTTTAGAATTTTTACAACTAGGTCATATAATGATTCCCCTTTTACGTGCTCTGGAATTCCTCGTACTCTAAGGTTACCTCTTCTTTCTTTATTTTCTTGTACTTCCATCCTATAAAGCATTTTTTTTTCTGGGTCTTCTCCAAGTAAGTTATTTTTTTCTCTAGATTATCTATGGTTTGGGCCTGGTTTTTAACTTTTTCCTCTGTTTCTTCCACTCTCGATAACAGGTGTCCTAAATCATTCCGCACAGCTGTCATTTCATGTTTTATCGTGTTTTCCAGATTTTGGAACATTTCTATCATCTCCTTTTTATTTGGTACTTGTAGTTCACCGTCTGATTCTTTTTTTTCCAAGCCCTCTGTTGTCAGGTGGCTACAGCTACTGTTCATACCCATTGATAATCTAGGACTATTTCCCAAACTAATGTCCATTTTCCCCTTTTTCGCTTGGGCCTTGGGCCCTTTCTGGCGTAATATTTCCTTGTGATGTAAATTTCTTTATCGTACCTGTTTGAGACCCTTTGAGCCCTGCACCCTTAGGACCTTTGTTCTTCATGTCCTCTAAATCTCTGATTTCTTCTCTTATTCTCAAAATGGAGTTATATCAGTCCTTTAATTTGTGAACCAGACAAGCCTGCTGTTTTTCCTTATGTTTTTACTCACCTAGGACACCTGGAGCTCTTCTCATCTTCTCTTTCTTAACCCAGGGAATCCACCCCTCCTATCCTTCACCCCTTGGTCTCCTATGTCACTCGGGGATCCCCCATATGATAAGCCCCCAGCAGCTCACACTCACCCTTCTTCTTCCCCAATCAGTGGCTCCGAGCTTTAGATGTAGGGCTTTCGCAGCAGCTCAGTCCTAGGGGGGATTCCTCTGGGTTTCCACTTTTCTCCTCCTGTTTTTTGTTAGAGGTCTTCCCAGGAAAGCAGGGTGGTTCTCTTTACTCTACTGGGTCACCCAGACCCAGGATCGATCAGCTGGCCGGGGGTGTTTGGGCACGTGTAAGCCGGCGGCTCCCTCTTACATCGGGACGCCGGCCGGTTTCTTCCTTCTCCCAGAGATCCTCCGGGGCTGGTCACGTGCTCCCACCACGTCACCTCGCCTCTCAGCCTCCCGGATCTCTCCCCTGTGAAGCGCCGGGTGCGGACCAGCGCGTCACTGCCACCTCCGCCCTGGTCCCATCTCCGACTCTCTCTCCTCTCCTCCGCCGTCCAACAGACTCCGGTGAGTCGGATCCCAAAATTACTGCTCCAGAGGGTCACTGGG